GTAAGCACTGCAAGAAATGAACTAGTCTTTGATTGGGGTGCCACTAATTCCCAAAACTTATTGAGACGTGCCTGGAGTCTTAAAAGGTTAATAACCAGTGATTTGGCCCCACATTCAGTCCTCACAGATGGGCCAGTAACTCTGCAAATCACAACCACTCCATCTATGGCTTAGAGCAGACTCGCACCAACCAGTGAATGGACAGCAAGATCTTTGGGCCCTTTCTGGGATTAATTTAATTCAGTAAGCCATTACTCTGCACCCAAGTCTCTTTGAACTGCTCATTTGCACCAGCAACTCTAGGATGTCCTAGCACAAATAAGTTCAACTGGAGGATCTAAAATAGTATTAGACAGCTGGAGCATGAAACACTGCACTCTGGATATCTATGGTACTTCAAAGAACCCTTTTATCATTGCATCTGACTCTACTATGCTATACATTTCAGTTCTGTGACCATACTTTATCTTCACACCACACACAGGAAGAGATATAATATGATGTCCATTTTACAGTTGTAAACTGAAAGAGGGAGACTTAATACCTTGTCCAAGGCCCACAGGAAATCTGTAGCAGGGCAGGGAATTGAAACCAGGTCTCAAGGCACAGACCAACAAGCTAACCCCTGGCCCAGCTGCACACCATTATCCTGGCATCTCAAATAGCCTCTTCTCACAGTATACTATTGAAAGATTTTGGAAGTAAACATTGAAGAATACTCTGAAACTGTACAAAGGACAGTAAAAAGTGCAGCTCTAAAGACAATGCCTACCTATTAACCTCCAAACAGTGACAATATTGCTAGGAACTTTATCCAAGAAACACATTCAGCAGGCTTATGAGATTCATTTCTGCTGAAAACTGCAGCAGAAAAAATAAAATACCACCTTCCCTGACTAACATGGGAAGTTTTATTTTTGCATCCAGTTGCACATGAGACTGTACAAACAATGAGGGACAGTCCTTGCTCTAAAGAGACTGCTACTTAACCACGTGGCAGACAGAACCCTGTACAGACGTAACATTTGGAGTACTCCAGATACCTTTGAAGAGCTCCAAACAACAGTCATAGCCAGAGCACCACTTCAAAAATGCCTGAAACGCTTAAAGAAAATGATCCACAGAAAATGAGAAACATCTATGAAGCACTTCCTTCTGGAGCACTTTGAGAGCACTTCATTACGCTCCAGTGGAGCGTGACAGGGGGTTTCTTGGTCCTTCAGCTTTCCTCCTGGGGTGGGGATGGGAGAGGGCTGAAGGTGGAGAGCCAATGCACACTCTCCAGCAGGCCCCACAGAAGGTAAACAAAGAACATGCAGGAATCCCTGCACGTCTCCCTGCTTCCAGTCTCCTGGTTCTACCGGGGGAGTGTGGGGTGTCCCAGTCCTAAGGGAGAAGGGGTGGGTGGTCGGCCATTCTCGGCAATCTCCAGAGCCCAATACCCATGCAAGGAATCATTCTGTCCAACTCCAGGATGGGAGAGAATAATTCCTTGCATGGCTCTCAGACTACAGAACCAGGAGTCCAAAGGCCAAGTGCACAGGAGAGCACTCAGCTGTCCACCTCACTCAGCACCCCCGCCCCACTACATGGGATCAGGGGTGGGGGAGAGAGAAATGGAGCCACATGACCAAGCAGCCCTCTGTCATGCCCCCTGTCTGGAAAGCATGTTGCTGAATGCTACTGCACTGATTTTGAACCATTCCTGTCAGGGGGCTCATCATCTGTCCATGATCTGAAGCATTCCATATTCCACTTCAGTTTGGAGTACTTTAAAGGTGTATCTGTCCATGGCTAGAGAGAATATCATTATCTCCAGCTTACAAATAGCTACTTGGCAGTCCAGTGGCATGTATTCAGTGGTCTCATTCCTGCACCCTGGGTTCAAGTCCTGGTTACAGTGGTGCGTTTTGTACCCTGCTCTCCCTTTCCCAGATAAACTTCAACAAGGACAAGTGCAAAGTCCTGCACTTGGGGCACAATAATTGCATGTACAAATACAGATGGGAATGATTGGCTACATTACAATACTGCAGAGAAGAACCTTGCATTACACTGGACCATAAACTGAATATGACCCAATAGTGTGAACGTGGTGCAAAAAAGTCAACAACAAACTGGGTTGTATTAGCAGGTCTCTTGAAAATCAAAGGAAGTGATTTTTCCATACTCTGGCACTGCCCTGGAGCGCTGTGTCCAGTTCTAGGCGCCACACTTCAAGAAGAATGTGGACAGATTAGAAAGAGCCCCACAAAAAGTAACAAAAATTATTAGAGGCCTGAGAAGCATTACTTATGAGGAAAGGATCAAAGTATGGTTATTTAGTCTGGAGAAGAGAAGATGGAGGAGGATTTGATAAAGTAGAATTATAAAAAGGAGATGGTCTTTTCTCTATGCCTGTAGGGGACAGGACTAGGAGCAATGGCCTCAAATTTCAGAAGAGCAAATTTAGGTTGGAGATTACTAAGAACTTTCCGACTATAAGGGTGGTCAAGCACTGGCACAGGCTACCTAGAGAAGGTTGGGAATCCCCATCCCCGGAAATTTTCAAAAGCAACTTAGACAGACAGTGGGTTGGGATGGTTTAGTCAGGGATGATCCTGCCTTGAGCAGGGGCCTGGATTAGAGGTCCCTTTCAGCCCAATTTTTCCATGATCTCTGACCCAGAGAGATTAACTAACTTGCCTAATGTCACACAGGAAGTCTGTGGCAGAGTGAAGAATCAACTGAGCTCTCCTGCAGCCTCATCCACTCTGTATTATCTATGTTAAAACATAACACTGTTAACAGTGAAAGCTCTAGTAGGATGCATTGCTGCTACCAATGCAAAATCATTAAAGCAAGTAATTGCTAATAATATCAGACAGATATCTACAGGGGTTAGAAAAGATCAAGAGAAACATAAAACTCATTAGCCCAATTATTATCTAAATCCATTCATCCAAACACCATGTAAATTGCATTACTATGTT